TACATTTCTAGGTTAAAAAGATTTACCTCTTGTTTTTTTTAAATAAAGTTTCATTGGTTTTTAACAAAACATAACAAATAAAACATCTTATTTGATACAGCATGATTCCAGGTTATCACATTTCCATACAGACACAATTTCATATACATATTCATCTTATGTGTTCAACTTCATATCTTTTCACTCTTTTTCCAACTTCTCATTATTTCTCCTTTTACTTCTCTTAATTTTCTTTTATAGTTATCTCATTTTCTTCTTATTCAATTGCATTTCTTTTGCCTAAATTTCTATATCTTTTTATTCATTATACTTATACTTTTGTCTGTCTTGTTTACAATTTCATATGTTCTCTTCCAACATTCTTAAAAAGCAAAATTTCCCCTATGATTGCCAATCGGAGTGCAACACCTTTGAATCTTATAGTTAGTATCATATGAAATCTTATTAAACATTAAATTTGTGCATTCTAAAATTATAACATTCAAATTTCTAATATCTATTTTATATCATGTAAATCTCATCATTCAGATTCTGCTTGGTACTTCCCCTTGAAAATACACAAAAAAATTCTAAGAAAATAGCATGTATGTATGTATGTATGTATGTATGTATGTATGTATATATGTATATATATGTATGTATGTATGTGTGTATATGTGTGTGTGTGTGTGTGTGTGTGTGTTTTCTGAGGTTCTCGCGGGTATTTGTATGTGGATCTTTGGTTATTTGGGTTTTCTTCCGCGTAAGATTGGAAGTATCTAGGCAACGTTTCGATGAAGTCTCATTCATCATCTTCAGGCTTGTGTCTTCTGCTCTGTGCTTCTCAGAGTAATGAGTTCCCCAGACCTGAATCCAATTGAGCACAACTGGGACATCATGTCTCACTCCATCCACCAATGCCACGTTGCACCACAGACTGTCCAGGAGTTGGGGGATGCTTTAGTCCAGGTGTGGGAGGAGATCCCTCAGGAGACCGTCCGCCACCTCATCAGGAGCATGCCCAGGCATTGTAGGGAGGTCATACAGGCACGTGGAGGCCACACACACTACTGAGCCTCATTTTGACATGTTTTAAGAACATTACATCAAAGTTGGATCAGCCTGTAGTGTTTTTTTCCACTTTAATTTTGAGTGTAACTCCAAACCCAGACCTCCATGGGTTGCTAAATTTGATTTCCATTGATAATTTTTGTGTGTGATTTTGTTGTCAGCACATTCAACTATGTAATGAACAAAGTATTTAATAAGAATATTTCATTCATTCAGATCTAGGATGTCTTATTTTTGTGTTCCCTTTATTTTTTTGAGCAGTGTAGATTATTTACTTATTTCATTTCTAACTCATCACTATATTCTACTGTCACAACACTTATCTTTTGTACCTTTGCCGAATCCTCACTTTTAACTTAATTTAGCCATTGTCTCTGTGTTTTTTAGCTGAGCAAATACCTTTAATCCTAGTATGTTTCCCCTTTTTCTTTATTTCCTGCTTTTGTCCCTCACAAGTTCTTTCCCTTTCTATCTCCCCCCCCCCCCTTTTTCTCATCCCCTTTTTTATATGCTTCTCTCTAATTTTCCCTTCTGTAATTTTCTTTTCTGCGTCTCCTTACTGTTATGCTTCTTTTTCAGACTATTTTTCTTTTTGGCTGCTCCCTTTAATCTCAAACTTTTAGCTCCTTTTCCCCTTTTCACCCCACATTGCATTGTTTGATCATTAAAAATGGCTTCTTCTTTGTCCTGCCCTTCTTCTTGCTCTTGAAGCTTTTCCTTTTGCTTTTCATAGTTCAGGATCTCCATTTCAAAAAATTCAAATACAAAGTCAAAGGATCCTCCTCCCTCTTCTGCATCTTCTTTCTGTTTTTTAAGACTCATTTTTAATTCCTCCAGGAGTGATACCATTTTAAACACTTTTAAACAACCATCTGATTGACTTTAAGTTAAAAAAAAAAAGCCAAAACTTTTTTTTTAAAATCACCAAATAATCCCAGACTGTTCCTTCTTGTTTCTTTCTTTTCCTTTCCATGGGTTACTGTATCTTTTAGTAAGGTTTCAGTTACAATGTATCCTTGGGAGTCTTTTTGAAGTTTCCCTTTGTTTTTCCAGGTGGCATTCCGTTATTTGATTATTCCAAGTTCCACCCTTTTTCCTCCACTCTTCTCCTTTTTAGGGCTTTAAAATGACCCAAAACACCTTTATTTAAAAAACCCAAAACACCTTTATTCTCCTTTTGACACTTAGATTTCAGCTTAAAGTTGCCTATTAGTGTCAAAGTAGATTAACACAAATTTCTTATTTAAATCTTCCTTTTAACATTCCATACCATTTGTAATTGTCAATATAAAAGTAGGAAAAGGGATTTTTAACCTCCTTTTCTCTCCTTCGCCGCTTAGAAATCTTCTTTCAGAAGTATCCCTCTAAATACTTTTAGATTCGGGGTGCCTTGCTTAGATATTCTCTGTGTTTAGCCCTGTCTGTCCTGCTTTCCTCTTTGACTTCCTCCTGCACATTCTTATCCAGTCGGGTTCCTCTTTGAGGTGGCCATTTCTGACCACCGCTGCAACCGCCTTCAGGAAAGGGAGTTTAGACCAGCCAAGGAGGAGAGATGCGGCTCCCCTCCACTCGGCTAGCAATCTCCCCCCTCTTCACCACCTCTACGGGGTGGCTTCAGCCCCGAATCCAAAGCTCAAGCGGGGAGCACAGATCGAAACTGCGCACGATCGTGGATTTCGGTTCATCGCTGAAGCCCAAACCGGAAGTCACCTCTGAGTTTTTTTTTAAGTTTACTGTAAAGAGTTCAAATCAAAGACTTGAAAGTGAGCATGGGCCACCAAAGGGCCACAGCTTACCCATTCTCACATTGCTAAACTCAAAGACTAAATTGATCCAGAGGTGCTTATTTGACCTTTCTTTAGTATTCCAATTGTTTATTTTAGCCCACTGAATTTGGATTATGGCTGTGTACCCAGTGGAGAAAATATGTTGTTTTAAACATGAATCAAATTGTAGTTTTGGAAATTCTACTGTTTTGAAATGGTCAAGGTTTGGCAGGGAAAAAGTTGGAAAGTTTTGGGTGCTCCCTCTTTCAATTTATTAAAACCTGTAGGAAAATCCCTGACAAGTCGTGCAAGGTTGGCATATGTTGCCCTGGTTTGTTAAAAATAAATAAATCTTCATGATTCCACCATTACCAATTTTGCAGCTCTCAGCATCTATTATCTGACTGGTTTTCCCATGCCTTTCCTTCCCATTCTGAACTGCTACTGATCTCCATGTGATAAAAGCAGAGAAAGCAGCCATTGGTATCTATAGGAAGCACCGGGGAGCTTCCTAATACAGCAATGATTACACAACTGAATAACCAATGAGTACATTCATTTCTCATGTCCTTTTCCTTTTTCATTTCTTTCCCCATTTCCATTATCATCACTGCAAACATTGCCATCAAAGAAATTTTCCACTTTGGTTTTTTTTGTTTTTTTTTACTATTTCCTCATGTCAGAAATTTGTATTTTAATTTACATTGTAAACAAGTAAGATCCATTTTGTCACATAAATCAAACTGACATGTTTTAGCTTGGATATGGGTCGTTTGAAACCAACTATTCTTTAAAGATAATGGTTTGTTCATGGTGCATACTGCACACCCATGTTGTATATTTTATGGATTATTTCCCCCAAACTAGGGTTGTCAAATTAATGAATTGTTGCTATACTAGCAAGAATTATGATAAATCTTTCTATGTTTGGAGAACATCAAATTGAAGAAAACTGATAAAGTATTTCAAGAATCATTGGCTGCAGTTAAAATAAGCAGTCTGAAGAAAGAATTTGTAGAAATTTGTTGAATATTTTAATAGATAATGAGAAAGAAAATGCTGAAATTCAGTTTTGCCAACCATTTATATTTTAACTGGATATATGCTGTATTCTGCTTTCACTATAGAGCTCATGATTACTGAGGAGAAAGTGGCACAGAGACTTTCTGACAGGGAAGAGGAGTTGAAGGCGAGTATGCAAAAGCTCCAGAAAATTGAACAAAAATTGCTTCAGACAAATAAAAAGGATGAAAAATTGAGGATCAGTACTAAATATCCTTTCATGTTGGCTTCTGGTGAGAAAGCAGCAAGTTAAATCAACCATTATTTATCCTAATAAAGTACTGTATGCAGGAAAAGGCGATGTAATATATGTAAAACAGCATGGTGAGTTTCTTAGCTATAAACTTTTATCTTTGTTGTATGGTCCTACCTTAGGATTAAAGATAATTCCACCCCCCAAGTATTTCTGGTGTCATGAACAGGAAGCCCAGCATCTGAGCCACCTGTAAATGTCTTGTTGGCTTGACAGAAATTGTGTCCTATTAGGCTCCATGGAAGAGTCGGCATAGCTCTAAAGATGTTGAAACCAAAAGTCCAGATAGTTCTTTCTTACAAGCAGCCTCTCAATGACCACTCAAAGTTTCAGTGGAGGTGAATGACTGGAGTTTACAACTGATCCTCAAAATTCTGATGATCATAGTGTAAGTGCAGATGACCTGATTACAATTTGGTACTTGGTGACTAGCCTGTATTTACAACTGTCTCAGCATCCTACAGTCAGGTGATTGCCATTTATTTATTCTTTATTTATTAAATTTGGTGCCCATTTTGCTGTGGGGTTACTCTGGATGGCGTACAACAATAAAACAGAAAAAAAAGATAAAATTGTAAATATAACAATAGTAGAGGAATGGAACAGAAATAAACAGTGGTAATACAGTAATATGCGGAGTGGAAGCAGGAGGGAGGTGGGGTCAGCAAGTTAGTCCATCAACCATCTCCAGTGATGTACTCTTTGATTGACAGGGTCCTCAGCAGACCTCCTTTGCTGGCATGAGTAGAGCGACCGTGTCTTAGCAGGACAAGACGGTTCAAGTAGTCTGGACCTATGCAATGCAGGGCTTTAGCGGTCATAACCAACACTTTATAATCTTTATAACATAAACATAACCTTCCCTGTCACTTCCTATAAAGTTAAATGGGGAGTCAGGCAGGAAATCACAAATGGCAACCATAGGATGTCATGCTTAACAACTGTGTGGAATTCACTTAGCAGCTAAAAGTGCTGGGAGAGAGCCATCATCAGCCAGTGTCTCATGATGTCAACTGCTTAGTGATGGAGTTGCTGGTCCCATTACCATCATTAAGCAAGAATTACCTGTTGTTGGTCTAGTTCAGGGGTGTCAAACTCACACCGTCCCGGCATCATCACGGGGCATATCACCTTTTTCCCCTTTGCTAACCTGGGCGTGGCCAGCGCATGATGCTGGAAGCCCTGGTCTAGTTGCTTTTGGCCCTTTAGCCACCTACCTTAACTGTTGGTATAAGGTAATCTGGTGTATATGTATAAGTGCCTCTCCATTAATCAGAGCTGGACAATTTGCTGAATCCAGGCTTCTGTCACATGGACATTTTAGCAAAAGTAAGTTGGTATATTGGGAAATATTACAGGCAAGGGTGGTTTTAGAATGTGAAAGAAAAAAAAATGGACGGTAGAGTCTTCTTTTCTAACATTTTAAGGTCTTTCCTGTTTATTGCAGGTAACTGTCCTTTAGGGCACATTCTTTATTTGTTATAATATTTTTTATCCATTGAGTACTATGTTGTCTAAGAATCTTCTTTGGCTTGTTAAAATTGGTGTTCTGAGCAGGATTCCAATCACACCTGCCATCTATAAAGTTTATTCAGGGCAAGAAAACAATGACATGTTCTATAAACTAATTAGATTTTGCTTTAATTCATTTGGATTTTGAAAATCAAAGTGAGTCAATAAACAATTCCATGTATGGCCTTTTCAAAAAGGTTGAGACAGTTTGCATTTTTTTTCCACCGGGAGCAGTTCACTTAACTCTCTTGCTCAGATTTTGATTCTGTTGCAAAAGAAAACAGGACAACCAATGGATTAATTGGTGTAGAAGTGTATTTTGGTGCCTAAATACCAAGGATAAAAAGTTTTCCAGGCACTTATTTTGAAACATGGTTCAGGTAACACAGCACCATTGTCCACAATATGGAAACTATTATTGTTGGAGTATTATTAAGACCTCTGTTAGTTTGGAGAATTACTTGGATTCCTTCACTCACACAATATACTGAATTAAGAAAAGAGCTGGAGACTTTGAGAGAAGAAAGCAAGCAGCAGCAGCAGAACGCAACAGAAGAAGCTGAGAGATCTATGTCAGCTACGTGAGTAAAAATCTTACCTAATCTCTCATTTGCAAAAGCTGAATTACAAGACTAGGCTACTCGGCTTCTATCTTGGCGATCCATTTCCTTTATGCAAGTAATTTGAGTTGGACAGCCATATAACCATTCTAAATTATTAAAACTGATCAAACCATAAAAAAGTTACGTTAATGTATGTTATTTTCCCCTCCCAAATTTCCTTTTGATTTGCCAAGGGGATACATGTAGATTGACAATCTTGCTTTGAAGTTATGGACTTATGTAAAAATATACATTTGTGGACATTTGTAATTAGTTAATGCATATAGTACACTTGGAACACTTGCATGCTTTTTTTAAAATGGGACAATGGGAAAAAGCAGGTTTTTAATCAGGGTCCCCAAACTCCTCAGTTGAACAACCCCTTCATGAAACCTCAGATTATTCATCAGTCTTCAAATATTTGTTTTTTGAAGATAATTTAATAAAAACTACTTTAATAGAGCACTACTGCTCCCTTTGGGAATAGATATTGACTACTTTGAGACATCCTGCTTTGAACAAGAAGCAGCACTCCAGGAAATCACCACACAGCCAGCTTCACCTTGCTTTGCATTTTCCAGATTCATTTGACATGAGGTCTGTGAATCATTAGCCAGCACAGCCTATGAACAGATTTCAGCAGTTGTAGATATTGATAGGATCTGCACCAGAACAAGGAACTCATGTTTTGTTATGTCTGCCAGGTATCTTGTACATCTGTATTATCAGATCTGCCAGATTGACTGGGACTATTCTTGTGAACCACCCCTGATCAAAGGAAGTATCCTTTTGTAATGTCTGGATTCCCAGGAGGGGGAGGGGGAGTGAATTCCAGAGAAGCAGAACACCCCACTATTATAGTTTGAGGGCGAAAGGGAGTGAATACAGCTCCTCCCTAATAGCTCCCAGTTTGTTTTATGGTGCAAGTAGTTTGCTTTAGTTCGGAAAGATTTCTCCTATAGGTGAGGAACATAAAGGAAACTGCTTAGAAGAATCTCAATGTGCCTTTCTTGGTTGTGGAGGCTGGTATGTTTCATTCCATGGAACTGGGGGGTTGGATCAGGGAAAAAACTTGAGTAACCTTTTCCTTAACCTTTTCCTTTGTTCTCAGCCCATTATGGACCAGATATTGCTCAATCTATCAACCTTGACAGTAGCCAACATTCTCCTTGCTTTATCAGTGATTACCTCTGGAACCTGGTGAATACATCATGGTGAATAAAGAAGCTTTTGGCAAACAGTACATAATATAGTAGATATTCCTAGGAGTAAAATATATTTCAGTGGCTCATTCTGTGTTATACTTTTTGGCACAGCAGTATTCTGAAGAGTATTAATGGAATAATACAGACTGAAGCAAAATAAATATTAATACTAATCACAAAAAGTGTTTTATTCATGTGAGTAGAACTTCAAAACCAGTTTCCTAAGAGGATGTACCATCCACAGGTCAGGGGGAAAAACGTAGGTAGCCATCTGGGTAAGCCCTTCCTTGTGGGGTAATAGAAAAGCAGCATAGGCAAAGGTCCACCTGAGGTTTTCAAGTTGTAGTGATCAGTGTTCACTTACAGCGCATTCAGAAAGCATTCAGACCCTTTTGTCAATTTTGTTATGATGCAGCCCGATTATATAGTTGAAACTCATTTTTTTTCATTAATCTATACTCAGTACTCCATAATGACGGTGAAAACAGAATTTTAGAAATGTCTGAAATTTATTAAAAAGAAAAAAAACCCGAAATATCACATTTGCATTTATATTCATATTCATATCATATTCAGACCTTTAGCAACAACACTTGAAATTTAGTTCCGGTGCCTCCCATTTCTCTCGATGGTTGCTGACATGTTCCCACAGCTTGACTGGAGTCCACCTCTGGCAAATTAAATTGAACATGATTTGGAAAGCCACACACCTCTCCTTAGAAGGCTTTCGCAGCTGACAATGCATACTGTAGCACAGCAAAAGCCCTCAGGTCAAAGGAACTACTGCCTACAGAGCTCAGAGACAGGATTATAGCAAGGCACAGATCTGGGGAAGACTATAATAAAATTTCTGCTGCACTGAAGGTTCCTAAGATCACAGTGGTCTCCATCATTTCCAAATCAAAGAAATTTGGCGCAACCAGGACTCTTCCAAGAGCTGGTCCCCAGGTCAACCTGAGCAATTGGGGGAGCATTATTAAGAGAGGCGATCAAGAATCCAATGGTCACTCTGACTGAGCTCCAGAGATTCTATGTGTAGATGGGACAAAGTTCTAGAAACCCCCCCACCGATACGGGCTTTATGGCAGAGCGGCTAGCCTCAGTGCAAAACACAAAAGTTTGCACAAAAGCATCTGGAGTTTGCACAAAAGCATCTGAAGGACTGTCACGACTGCGTGGAACAAGGTTTTCTGGTCTGATGAAATCAAAATTGAATTGCTTAGCCTCAATTCTACATGTTATGTCTGGAGGAAACCAAGCAACGCTCATCATCTGCCCATCCCAACAGTGAAGCATGGTAATGGCAGCATCATGCTGTGGTGGTGTTTTTTCAACAGCAGGGACTGATCAGAGTTGAGGGAAAGCCAGATGGAGCAAAGTACAATGAAAACCTGTTCTACAGTGCTCAGGACCTCAGACTGGGCCAAAGGTTCACTTTCCAACATGATAATGATCCTAAACAACAGCCAAGACAACACAGGAGTGGCTTAGGGATAACTCTGTGAATGTCCTAGAGTGGCCCAGCCAGAGCCCCGTCTTGAACCCTATTGAACATCTCTGGAGGGACCTGAAAATGGCTGTCCACTAATGGTCACCATCCAACCCGACTGAACTTGAAGGAAGGAAAAATGCAAGGAAGAATGGCAGAAAATCCCCCAACCCAGGTGTGCAATCAACCCAGTTGATTTTCAACCAATTTTCAACCCAGGTGTGAAAATCCCCCAACCCAGGTGTGCATACCCAAAAAGACAGGCTGTAATTGCTGCCAAAGGTGCTTCAATAAAGTACTGAGTAAAGTGTCTGAATACTTAGGCCAATGAGATATTTCAGTTTATTCTTAATAAATTTACAAACATCTAAATTTTTTCTTTTCACTTGGTCATTATGGAGTACTGAGTGTAGATTAATCAGGGGAAAAAAGGAATTTCAACCATTGTAGAATTGGGCTGCAGCATAACAAAATTGACAAAAGTGAAGGTCTGACTCTGAATACTTTCTGAATGCACTCTACCTGCAGATCAGCAACCACAGAAGAGTGCCTCACAACTTTTCCCATTTCCTCACCTGCACCTGTACAAACTTGACAAGCAAAAAAATTAACCTTGAACTGGCCGCCAAACTGTATGAATAATACACATTTCTAAGGAGGGCTCAGGGCTGCATTATGTACAAAATACTTCCACCCATCCCGATTTGGAGGTCATTTCCTGAAGGTCCATTCACTGCCAGGGGCCAGAAAAGAGACAGCCGCTGTGAATTGAGCTTTCCTGTAGTTGTCCCAGAGAGGTTTCCTTCTTCACTGACGCATCCATCCCAAACTGAGGCAGGAGCAGCATGGAGAGGCAACAGACTTACTGTAGCTGCTACCCTTGTAAAGCACAGAGCAAAAGCTGTTCTTCATGGCTGCCTCAAGGTCAGTTCAAATGGGATTTAAAGCATTTCTCATCTTTTTGGCACGTTTCCTTTATTCTGGCAGAATACAACTTGGCAGCAGGTATTTTATAATACTGAATCTTCTCCCATTTGTTTTTCTCCTCTCCATTTGAAGGGAAGTGGAGCACATTCCACGTTACCATTAACAATGGCATTTTTGCTGCTCAGTTTGTTTGCAGCATGGCTCCATGGTAATGGCAACGCCTACCCCACTGCGGCCTGATGTCATACAAGTTACTTCGGTCCAAGTATCTGTAGTGGAATCGTAACATTCAACGCTGTCCAGAAATGTTTGTCCATCATAGCCACCTGCAGGAAAACAATTAGCAATTAGAACCAAGAGAGGCCAGAGGCTACCTTGAAGGCCCTTGACTGAACTGAGATGAATCAGAAGCAGCACCCCAAAGCCTTGTCTTCCAACTGCGCAGGACAGCTTTGTATTCACAGTACAACTCTAATTCTCTGGGTAGAAAGTAGCTCTATTTGGCAAAAGCCATGTGAAATCTCAGCAACAAGAAAAAGAGGATGGGAAGAGTCTTAGCCATAATGAACATGTAAGACGTCCAGCTGGAAAAAAACCTGCCTCTTGCTGGTATAAATCCTGTTGCTTTGCTATATCCAGTGTGTCTTCTGTAAGGTGGCAACATGTATTTCTCATGCTGAATGGGGCAAAATTTTGATGGCATCATACAAATAAGAATATAAATGGCCCTGAATTGTAATTATTATGGAATGTTATGTTTGTCCTGGTTTTTTTTATCAAGATTTCCAAGAGCCCAGTGTTTCAGCAGATGGAAACGCTTCAACACTTACATGGGGGAATCTTACCAAAACTGCTATTTGGAGATAGAGTGTGCGCGTTAATAAGTAAGAGCACTTCTACACACATCTGTATCATTGATTTCAACCCAGTGTGTCTCCATGTAATGTACTCAAGAGCTCACTAAGCTATCCAAGTAAATATGTGCAAGAATAGATTATTAACTGTAGCAAACAAAATATGGCTTCTGTTTCCACCCCATTAACCAAGTGAACTAAGCTATCCCTGGGACCAATGCCCATAGCTTGTGTGACTGCTGCCTGTACTTCCCACATCCAGCCAAAAAGAACTTGCTGTAATCCTTGGCCAACGTACCTAACACGTAGATCTTGCCTTGGTATACAGTGACCCCGAGGGCACTCCGACGGTGCTTCATGGGTGCCACAAAGGACCAGGTGCCCACCTCCACATCATAGCGCTCCACGCTGTTCAATTGATTTGTTCCATCGTAGCCTCCCATGGCATATATGCAGTTATTCAGAGCACAAACTCCTGCATTAGGAAAGAACAGCATTAAGACAGGCATGAATTATTCAAACACTCAGGGGATAACACATTCTCAAGATCAGGATCTCTTGCAACCTTAATCTGAAGTGGAAAGCCTATTTAGGGCTAGGTTAGAGTTTAACAATGCCTGGAGGGCCTTTTAGCAATGCCTGGAAATCTTTTCTACCTATCCTGGACAATATTTCTCAGGTAGGAGGCAGTGTTATTCTTGGACCTAGAATGTCCATTTTTTGGCATCAAACAAGAAGCAAGGAAACATCTACACTGGTCTTTGAATGTAGGGAAATCTCCCCAAGCATATGAATACCATGGAATTAGCAGGCATGAGCTTGCTAATCTACTCTTGCTGCAACGAAAATCAACTTCGAGTTCATCCATTTCAATTTAGATCCAGAACTCCAGTGTAAAACTAAATTGGACAACTATCACCAGTTGGGTCTGAAGCACCACCCAACCATAGTCCAGTTTATTGTATTACAGGTAGTCGTCCAGGGCCCATTCAAAGTTATAATGGCACTGAAGTGTGAAGGTTCTGTCCACTGCGCCACTCTTGCGGTCACATGACTGCGATCCAGGCACTCAGGTTGGCAGCTTGTGATTTCTTCTCACCTCACCAAAGGTTGCTTGCTGCCAATCTCTAGCAACTGGTAGGAATCAAGCCCATAGCCAGTACAGCTCATTGCACCCAAGAATTCTGCCCATTTCTTCAAGATTCAACCTTCCCAGATGATATCGTAAGCCGTTACATCTTTGAACTCTGTGCTGCCAGCATCTAATTCTGCTTGGATTTTATATACCAAGTGCTTAGCTAACATATTACATAACTGCCTGTTAGGTATTCCTACTCATTTCTGGATACCGCTACCATCCCCGGCAACAAAGAACAAAGTCATAGAGCCCAAATTTACTCCTCCACCAAGATAACAGACTTAAATTGAGGAGGTGGAACAACAAAAGAGAGAAGACAGCAGCTAGTTACAATGTGCAACTATGAAGATTCTCTGTTGAAGTTAGACATAAAAAAGCTCAGAGGATAATTGCCCCTGCCTTATTTTTTTGAGAAAAAAATGAAATTTTTTGGAGAGAATAAAAAAAGTGAAGCAAAGCAACAAAGAACTTTGTTTTCTTAGATTTATGAAAGGAGCATGACAAAGGATTCCTATGTTGCTGTCAATTATTTCCCCCAAATGGTGCCCTACAACTTGTTACAGGAATACTTTCTAGACCAGTGATCCCCAACCTTTCTTATGCCGCGGCCCGGTATCCCCAACCTTTTTTATGGCGCGGCCCGGTACCGGCATTAGCTGGGCGCCGCCATCTTTTTTTGATGAAAAAGTGCTTCCGGTGAGCTTTTCCGGGTAGAAAGCTCACCGGAAGCACTTTTTCATCAAAAAAAGATGGCGGCGCCCAGCAAACCAGCGGCCCGGTAGGACTTGTTCCACGGACCGGTACCGGTCCGCGGACCGGTGGTTGGGAACCCCTGTTCTAGACCATCAGAAGAGCAAAGATCTTGCAAAGAGGGGACAAGAGGGACATGAATAAACCAAGTTATACATATTGCACATTCTTAGAATCGCAATGTGAAAGTGACTCTTATAAAAGTACATATATTGCCATTTTCCCAAATTTTAAATTTCCATTAAAATACAAAGAAAAGACCAGTTTTTCCCACCCTGTAGTTTGCAGAAATTTTACATCTGTATCCCCAAGTATGGAGTTCCTGCTGCTGCACATACCTGCTCCACTCCGAATAGTTTTCATTGACACAATTGTCTCCCATTCATCGCGCTCTGGGTAGTAGCATTCGGCGGTGTTGTGGCGGTTAGTGCCATCATAGCCCCCCACAGCATATAGGAGACGGTTCAGCACAGCCACGCCGACCCCAATCCGCCGCGTCAGCATAGGAGCTACCGACTGCCATTCATCACGCTCCGGCTCGTACCTGGAGGAAAAAGAGAAGCTACATCAGGTACTTGTTTCTGCTGTCTAGGTTGTTTGAACAAGGATGCTAATTGACAGTTGCTGATTTACTGTGCCAGTTCCCTGCAGCCACTGAAGAAGGGAGAAAGCTGGATGAAGGATGAAACAGGAAGGAGATGAAGCACGGTGGATTTTCTTCAGGCCCTCTACTACCATTTTATAGGCTCTCCAAAACACTCTATCTCATCTGCACCATTAACTCTTCTATGTGCTGTCTTCCTTTATCAATACTTCTAAGTACTGGAGAAAAAAATCCAGGTGTCCCTGTTACCTTTGCCAGGAAGGCCTCATTCCGATATTACTACGGACAGGCTGATGGGAAAGCCAGCATCAATCTCTTTTCCTCCTCCACATGGGAACAGCCCAAGCTATCCAATCACATTGTGCAGATACTCGAGACACCCCTTCTCTCATAAACCTGCTTAAGTCTCTTCGTGCCAGGTCTGAATAAAAACGTCACTTTTGAAAAACAGGAGAAATCTTCAAAAGGATACAACCAGAGCAAATTACATCGCCCGGGTCTCTAGAGCCTTCTACGTCCATTTCGCATTTGTGAAGGCTGCCTTGCAAGGGAGCAGAATATACAAGCCAGATTTGGGAAGATTTTTCCCTTACCTCTCCACGCTGTTGTGATGAGTGCTCCCAAATGAACCGCCCACCGCGTAGATCATACCATCAATTACTCCCACACCAATTCGGTTACGGGCCACACTCATAGGGGCGCAGGGAGACCACCGATTGGTCATGGGGTTATAGCAGTCAATGGCATCCGAGTCCATGTTGCCATCGGGAGAGTTGTTCCTGCCCCCCACTGCATAGAACAGTCCGCTCACTACGCAGCCAGCCAAGCCGCTGCGAGGCACCTGCAGGTCAGCCAGTCGGATCCAGGAGCCATCGGAAGGATTGTAAGCCTCCAGGTAGCTCAGGGAGTGGCGAAAGTAGCCCCCTGCTGTGTAGATCAGCTGACCCACCTTGGGTGCACGGCAGGGCATGTCATTAGTGGGTTTGTGCAGGGTGAGATCCTGGAAGATCTTGGCCAAGTAGTCCTTGCAACGGGAGTCCGACTTGAGGATTTCACACTTCTGCAGCTGCATTTGGAGAAAGTGTGGCGTGAGGGAATGGCAGCGCACAGCTTTCAGCAAGGCCTGGACATAGAGGCGCCGGTTCTCACAGTCATATTTCACCCAGTTAATGCAAGCATGGAAGACTTCTGACTCACAGCGCACGTTCAGCTCATCTCGGCTGATCAGGGTCACCAGCTGGCAATGTGAAAGGTTGAAGAACTCCTCCTGCTTTGACACCTACCGGAGGAGAAGAGAGACCGTGAGCAAAACCACAAAAGTTTGGAAGGGTGGCTTCCCCTTCTAATGATGATGTCAACAACAGACAGATGATATGCTCATCAGAAGCAAGCAAAATCTGCTCTAGATGAGCTCTAGGACTCTTTCTGCACAGATCATTGGATGGTGGCTGAATGTCACACAGAGGGAAAACACATGCCTGCAGAGATCTGCAGAAAAGAAAGCAACTGGCAACTGCTTTTCTAGCACTTGCAGGTAAGATAAAGAAGCAGAGGAATCCACCATTCAGGACCCGTAAAAAATAAGGTCCAAAAAGAACATCTGACCAGCATCATGGTCAAAACTTGAAATCCAAACAGAGATTTCTTAAAACCAGGTTCATCTTCAGTTAGAATCAACCAGTAGTTGAAGGCTGCTATGAAGAACTGCCCTAAGTTTAAAGAATATAAATAAAGTTTTGAAAAAAAAATAGAATTTATAGCCTCTGAAATTATCAGTATGAAACGATGATCTAGCAGCATTCTAGAATCCATAAGCAGATTTTTATTTTGTCAGTCATTAAGGCTGCCTAGAGCAAAGGTTTTGGACTGATAAAAATCCTAAAAGGAGAATGAGTGGATTCTTACAGACTCAATACTATTGTTCACAACTGGCTGAATTCAAGCCATCTTTGCAAGTTTTGTATCTGATGAAACCCAATCTTAAATTCTGAGGCTGGCAGTTACAGATTAGGCTTCAGATACAAAACGGATGTCGGATTACATACAAGTTCTTTTATGGTCTCATAAAATCCAGGTATTGAATTAACTTTGTTTCTAACAAAAGGTTTCCCTGTGGAAGGTTTAGTTTGTCATTGCATTTGAACATCTGGTCAATTTATTGGACTGACTCTAAACAGTAAATTCCCCATCTTTGTCACAAAGGTTGAATGTTTATATTAATCCAAACCCAAATATGGCTTGTTCACTGCAGCCAAAACATTGTAAACTGCACAACTGTACAACACAAAATACCACCAATCCAATCATCATATTGTGTCCCATTTCTATGGTAATGCTTTGCACACATAAAAAATGTGTAGTGTGCCTGGGTATTCTATCTGATGATTTCTTCCCGTGCCTCTGCTGCAGCTTTGCCTTTAAATCTTTTGCCAACAGCAACCAGGAATTCTAACCAAGTTACTGTGCAAAAACAAAGGATGTGCAGAGAGATGAAGGGGAGTAACCACTACCTGGCTTTCCTTTATCTAATCACTCATGTTTGGGATTGACAATGAAGGAAACCCAAGGAAGGCATATGGGCTACAAAATTAGGGATACTGTTCTACTTGGTCAGCCCTTTTGGATGGGCTTTCACTAATAACACAAAGCAAAGCTTTATTAGTCTCCGATGACAAAACTCTTTCTGGTGCATTCAGCATAGAAATCAAAGGGATTTCTATGGAGCAGGAAAAAAGCAATGCCAGGGTCCTTTGCCAATCCATGTTAGTTTGTGCTGGATCAGCAGGGAGTGGCAGATCTAACACAGAAATAGCTAACACCCTGTTTCCTCTAGGCTTCTGAAATGGCTGGAAAATGAACCCTGCAATGAAAAAAGAGGAAGCCATACCTCTCCTGACAGTCTACAGTATTCTCAATTCTTCCCCCTAAAATAGAGATTGGCATTTACTCTTGTAATTTAATAAGAAAGCAAGCAAAATTCTTACAGGCTAGTTATTGTTGGGACCTTAGCAACAAGACCGCCAACTTCTCTTCTGAAGATGACAAAATAAAAAAAAGAGGGAGGATATTTTTGAATATTATGAACAAACATGGAGCAGCGCTACATTCATTGACACAAAACCTATGGACAGATTTTGCATACGGACAGGAAAATACCCCCTTTCCTGCAGAGTCTCACGTGACATACAGTCTCCCTATTTTATTTTGCCCTGTTTAGCCAGATGATTGGGTCTCCCAGCAGAAATACTGGGGGTGGGCAAGTTTAATGGCTAAGGGCTCTGCTAGGAACAGAGAGGTCCAGTTTCTTAACCAGCCTCAGCCATGGAAGCTCACTTGATGACTTTGGGTCTATTATACTTACGCCCAATCTCTGATAGGGAAGAGGTGGTGGGGAGAAAAAAAGGAAGGACTCTTCCACTTAGGACTCCTGAATGAAAGGCAGGATATAAATTTAATAAACATATGAACCAACTCATTAGCTTCATTCTATTTGCAAATTTAGAAAAGAGGCAGAAGCCACTGATGGCTACAGAATTATTTTTTCCAACTTTTCAGGGTTCATTAAGCAATTACCACAAAACAACAAGTTTCCAGCCCCTTATGTTTGCAGAAACACAATGAGTCTATACCAGACATCCAGGTGGTAACTAGGAAAGATTTGCAGCACAGAAAAAAAAGGGGGGGGAGGGGGAGAAATAGTATCTTGCCTCTTTGGAAGAGATAGAAGAGTTGTTCTTTCATAACCAAGAACAGAAAATAAATTGTGAAAGGCAGTCAAAAGCAAGGCCATATTCTGATTCAGACCTCCTTTGAACACCGGTATACCCCGTCTCCTCCTGTTCCCCTTGGTGCCCTTTCCTTGCGCAGGGTCTTACCTCTCCAAAATGCATGTAGATATATTCCCGTGCCCGCTGGTGCAGTTCGGTACAGGCAATCTGTTCAGCGAAGTTGGCGATGCCAATGGCATTGCTGGGGTCCAGCTGCTGCACCAAAAAGTCACAGCAGGCCTTCACCACACTGTCTATCTGGTACATGACGGCCCCATTCATAACATGCAGCACACACTGCTCACCCACGGAAATGGAGGCGGTGTAGGCAAACTCAATGAGGCGCTCCATTACTTTGGGGTGGATGCCCTCAATGGGGATTATCTCCATACCCTGCTCCCGGAGGCCCATGGTGAACATGGCCTTGAAGACTGGGCTGGAGGAGGCCAGCACCACCTTGTGGGCCTGAAAGTCGGCCGGGGGAATGTCCTTATATTTCACCCGCAAGGTGACGTCACAAAGTTGCTGACTTAGGCGCAACTGATTCATAATGTTAAAAGCTTGTTTGGTGTGATCCTCAAGGGTGTAGCTGAAGGTGCGACTGCCATTGTGTGAAGGAGTCACCTCCGCCTTGCACTCTGGATCATACATCACAGAAGCAGTCCTGTGGTCATTGCACGAAGGAATGCAGGAAAAGAACAGGGGCACCAGCAGAGGCAGCTAAGCTGAGGGCCTTCCTACAGAGGCCTGCCATGCAGCGAAGTCTTGATACCTGCACAGGGGACAGAGAAGCAAGAGGTTTGGTTAGGTAGTATACGACCCAAGGCAACATCTCACTTCTGGCTTTGCACTGCTGCCTCACTCCAGAAGATCATCCTTAACCTTCCCACATCTGTGAAACGGGCACACATATATGTGAGGTTTGCCAGACACAGAACCTGCAATCTTCGCTTCAAAGAATATCAGATACACTTGAAATAGAATTAAAAAGAGTTTAAAAATAAAAATACTTATGAGGGAATATTGCTCAGATTAAGCTATCCACTCCCTTTTTTTTTCAATTAGAAGAGGGACAAAGATGTCCTTTTCATGTGTTCCTTCAGGTCAATCGGAAGCACAGATAACTTTCTGTGCCATACAGTGCCATTCTGTGCTACTTAACACAGTCACTATGAGTCAGCAGGCTATACCTTAGGACTGCTTAGTCATTCCAGGGCCACTGAGGTTTGTAGGTATTTCCTCCACGATTTGCACTGCAATCAATATACTATTGTAAGATTAATTCATATTCCTCCTTCACAATAGTTTGCGGCTTTTCAGGGTGCCTACAAGTAGTAGTGACTCTTAGCAACTGCCTGGACAAGTCCCTGAAGTTTTCATGGCAAGATTTTTCATAAGTGGCTTGCCCTTGTATTCAGGCCAAACTGGAAGCCAAGAGAAACTGACTAAATACGCAAGCTGGCTCATAATGGATGAGGCTTTGAAGAATAAGACATCCCTGTAAACCGCTTCACTGCTACCTGTCCATTTCTTTTAATTCACAGACGTGGCTTATTTATGAAAGGCATTTAAACCAAAAGTTTAAATCAATCCAATGAAGTGAAGAAAAACAAAAGGCCCTTGAAATTTAACAGAAGGCGAGTAGTGTATTTGCAGCGAGATGGACAGCAATTATTTACTGTGCCTCTCCAATGAAGATTCTTTAAAATGGCATTGCATTGAGCCGGGGGCGGGGGGCATGGGTTTTTGATTAGATTACTGTAGCAGCTGCATACTCAGTTTACATGGTCACATGCAACAAGAACGGTGCTTTCATACACAACTACACACACCATTGCTATATGTTCAGGGATTTAAAACTTGCCAAACACAAATGCCTGGGGAATCCAGTCCAGCTGGTGCATACAGTGAAAATTATCCTGGCTTATTCCACCAAAACAAGATGACAGCATATAGCAGGAATGTTTAGGCTTTCAGGTGGCAAATCAGCATACATAAGATTCTAATCGCTATTGAACATAAACCCCTAGGTTCAAAATGGGCTCCAGGTTTAAAGGACAGGCTGCTCCTAAATGTACTGTATTGTGCTTCTAATCTGATTGGTGGATCCAGCAATTTCAGCACAGTAGCAATTAAATTCAAGCAGCCTGAAATCTCTTTACCTTTGTGCGGAATGTGAATTGAGGATTTTGACATTTTGCCCCGTTTCCTCAAGCTTGACTCGCCTCCCATGACCTAAGAAAACAAGCTACAAGTTGCCAAGGAGATAACTATTTAAGACTGAATTTCTTCATAATACCCATTTCCTACTCTCCATGTAGTAATTTTAGATAGGGTCCTTAGGATGGATATGCCCCATTATGGATGGTTTGTCTTACCAGTTCCTGATGTCCTTCCTGAGCAAAATTCACAAACTACCTCACTTTTCCCACAGATATTGCTCTGATTCAAAGCTCTGCTCTCATGACAGACCTCTCATGTTGGAAGAGAAGCAATCGAGACTTCATCAGACCAGAATGAGAGGACTAGGAGCAACACTCAGTCCAACATAAACAAATACAGGCTTCTTCTGTCTAACTAGAAATGTTAACTGTGTCAGAGAGGATGCATTTTTCTTCTGAAGCACACACCTATAAAATGAATTATAAAGCCAGAAACGTGGTCTTAACTGAGTCATCTAATTAGGCACAAGGAAGTATCTGGTTTCCTCTGGGTTACAAAATACTCAGGATAGGGGTGAAAAATTGAAAGAGGCTTGGGGAAGACAGCATTCTAAAATTTTATTTTAATAAGATAACAAAAATATAGTAAAGTTGGAAAATATGAAGAAATGGGAAAATTTAAGTTTTGTATCGGGGTTCTCACTATTGTACTTGTGAACATCAGTTTGCCCACATATACCCTAATTTAGATGTGCAAGTATCCCAGCTCAACAATTTGTTATTTTTTAAAAAATACAGCTGCTGCCTTAATATAAAATTATTTTTTATTGGCAGAATCTTCTCTGTAGAATGTTATCAATTACATCATCAGTACAGACCAAACATAGTAGTTAGCAGGCTTTAATATCAGCATATGGAATTTGTTAGAGGGTAAATCTTACCCATCTTAACACTGATAAACTCAACTTGATGAGCACATTAAAGGCACCTGGAACAACAAGGCTATATGGTTACATCTTTTGTCCAAACAGTCTAGTGTGCTAGAAGGGTTCTAAAGAACTCTTGTTTATCATAGTTCCAGTATCCATATTCTATGATGGGTTAGAAAGGGAAGGATGCGCTTTCCTAAAAGTAATAAATCCAATAGTCTACCAAAATAATTCCAGTGTTGAAGGGCTTATCGCCTAATAACATAAGTGAGGTACTAACAAGATCTGATGTATTTCTGTGTATTTTTTCTAATTCAGTAGATGAGCTGTAGTCATCTTCAAATATTTTAAGAGATGTTGAAAGAACAGTGGACAAACGTTGCACATGTCCTAGGAAGGGAATCAAAACAATCATATCCGGGCATCTCCATAATTACGTCAGTTGCTCCTAAACCTGATCTAATACAAATACAAGATTTGCTTCCAAAATGTTAGCATCAGAGCAGAAAGTCATGTATTAAATGAAATGGGAATATTTACATGTTGGAGTTAGCTGGAATTGTCACAAAATGTGACGTATCATGACTGGACCATCATTCTAGTACATGCTTCTGTTTGGTTCCTCTCTCTAGGGTCTAAATATGTATATTTTTTTCTAATAAATGGATTATAAACCAGGCTTCTCCTTCCCAAAAAACTCAGGGAATAGATGCCAAAAAGAAATCACAGCTTCTGATTCTGACTTGTTAGGAGCCAGCCAAGGATGCTTGTAAATATGATATATATCCTTAGAAGAAGCATCCATGTTTTTCCCCCAACTGTAGCAAGCAAAAGTAGTCAAGAACTGACTGCCATGCATGTTTGAAATCCTGGCTATAACATACAAATTCAGAGTTGTCAGAACTTACCCTATTGTCAGTCTAGCAGTTAAGGCAGGGTGTCAAACACGCAGCCTGTGGGCTGGATGCGTCATATGCTGGCCATGCCCATCCCTGGTTTAGCGAAGGGGGGAAATGTTGCAATATGTCACGTGACAACGTGACGCTGCAAATGTGACACCCCTGGGTTAAGGCATCAGACTAGAAACAGAGACCATGAGTTCTAGTCCTGTCTTAACCATAAAAGCCAGCTGAGTAACTTTGGGCCACTCTCCCAGTCCAGCTTATCTCATGGGGTTTGTTGTTGTGGACAAAATGGGTAGGGGAAAGAAGTATTGGATACGTTTGCCACCTTGAGTTATTTGTAAAAATAATAAAGGTGGGATATAAATTAATAATAAAGTAAAGAAATGTCACAAAAATCATATCAGTATTAGGTTTGGACAGGCCATCAAAGTTTTGGCCATTTTCTAATTCTTTTCTAGATCTGAGTTTGGAATAAAAGAAAAAAACCCTGTAAACTACAAACAAATGAATATATGTGAAATAATAAAATGGACATATGTGCATATTCCTTTAAATCTTGCAACTACTTCCAATTAAAGCAGTAATCATTCTAAGTAAGCACACTTTGACCATGTTATGAAGCCCAGGAGGATAATCTAGAAGGCCAGATCATTATCTACTGCTACAGGTAAACAAAGCCTTCCTCCTTCCAAAGTCATGTGCTTTTAGGAGATCAACTTTAGAACTTGATACAAGTGCCTCACTCAACTGCTCTCTGTAAACGATGATGCAAAAAACCCACCCCATTCTTGCATTCCTGCTGAGGAACAGTTTCTTTAAGGAGAGGACAAGTGTGCATGTTGAGCAGAAATAGGCTGAGAGTTGTTGAAAACCATGCCAAGAAACCTTGCCAATTACCACTTCTGCTCTACACCTGGAGCAGGAAGGCCTCTTCCAAGGATTTCGCATGAGAATAACATAAAACTGTTGTGCTTGCAGAGATTCCAAGAAAGAAACTTATGAATCTAGAGTCTTTTATACCTGCATTCCTAGGTTTATTCTGTAGCTAGTCAAGCTATTATGTTATCCATCGGTTTTTGGAAGATGTTAAAAACACAATTAAGCCAAATGAGTATTTGCCTGCTTCCAACTTACAACAGTTTGATCTAATTCCTTGTTAGAATTCCTTTTCCCAATTTAGCTTCTCTAGGCTTGCTCACATTGGTAATAGAAATTAAATGATCAATCTTTGGTGCAACCTTTATTAGAGCAAAGAATTTATTTCTGACTACTCCATTCTACAGTTTAGGAATATTAAATCATACCAAAATATTTTTTTCTTTTAAATAAAGCAAACTTTATAATTATGCTCAAGACTCTAAGCAGCATTGGACCTACCTGGTTACTACTTAACACAGAAAAATTCCAGACTGGAAAACAATTGAAAAAAAACAAACACCTCAGGCAGCAGCAAGCTATTTGTACGTTGCAGGGATGGGATCCGACTGGTATAACTACCAATTCTGTCGCTGTGTGTGAGTTGCACAAGTGTGACTGCGTGCAAGTGCGCAGTGGTTGGAAAAGTCCTTTTTTCCTGCTTTTTCAACTGCAGCTGTGTCGTGCAAAGCAGCTGCGGTTGAAAAAGCAGGAAATAAAGATCAGGTAAGACCCCGGCCAGGGGGGTGGGCCAAAACAGCAGCAGACAGAACCTGTTCTATGTCTGCTGCTCTTCAGAGCTACCGGTTCTACAGAGGTGGACAGAACCAGTAGAAACCCACCCCTGATACGTTGTTGTCAAGAAAACTACATGGAAATGCCAGGTAGTCACCCGGAGTTGAGTTCAATTTAAAGGAGACCTAACTTTATTTCCTGTGGAATACCTGTGGTCCTCAAGTGTTGCTGAACTACAATGCCCAGCACCCTTGTTATCCATACAGGTGAAGACCACTAAAAGTTGTAGTCAGCACAATCCTCCTGCTTTAGTTGCTAGATTAATCAAGTACAGTATTATTGGATCAGCAAAACAACAACTATTTGAACACCACAAAGCTCCAGCTTGCTCTTTTAGTTGTGAATGAAAACCAAAGTATGACAGGTAATCTTTGCTCCCAATTTTACTTGCCTTGTTTAATCAAGAAGCACTTCCTTCCATAACAGTTGACAGAACATAAAAACCATAGTAACATGGAAGCTTGGAAATGAAATGAACTATTTTTTTTCAAGATAGAAAGTTGCATCTCTCCGGTTGCTTTTCAGATAGCATCACTCAAGGCCTTCAAATACGTGCTGAGTTGCAGCTCCAAGTCAGCACTAGCTCAGGCACCTGGGCTTGAAGGAGAATGAAACTCCTATGTAGCATTTCTGAAATGCAACAGATATGGAAGGGCCCTAAGAAATTGGGGGGGGGGGGGGCACTTTTGTAAATCTTGAATTTCCAAAAATCACAGTGTGCAATATATTTTGAATTATGTTTTTTTTACAGATTATCAATTAAGAATCCATCAACACACTACCTCTCCTCACAACTCTGTATTCCCTGCTTCTCCAAGCTTTAGCTGACAATTAAGGATGAGGTCACCTAAAGGAGACGCTGAAGGGAGCTTGGTTGCTGTCACTGTGGTAGGCCCAGACGGCTGGACGACACGGAACTGCTGCCCGATATCTAAGTACAGTTCTCCGGCAGCCACCTACAAACTCGGCCATTTCGTTTACGGCTCACACGTGTTCTTCCACCAGGACAACTCGGCCCAGCATGCTCTGATTTCCCCACTGTGTTCCCTGTCCAGACTGCGGGCCGTTCATTTCTTTCACAGAATGTAAGACGTCAGCCCGAGATCCCTTGTACGCGCTTGGATCAGACTCACACCGACATCACCCGAGATCCCACCGGCACGGTTCAAAATTGCGCTCTTCCAACTTCGAGCCAGAGACGCCGCCACCTCCAGGCCTCGAGCTCGCCCGTCTCTCCCGCTCCAACGGCAAAGGCCGGAAGTCTGCACCCCCTCGCACCTCTCCCTCTCGTAATCACAACAGCCGCCGTGCCCACCACATAACAAAGGCGGAGGCGGCGTTCGGGCTCCCGCCGCTCCGAAGCCCAGGACGAGCTACCTTGTCCCGCTCGCGGCGGGTGACAAGAACTCCAGCCATTCTCCCTCCCCGCCATCGGTCGCCCCTCGGAGCTACGGGAAGGAGAGAGCAAGGAAGCCTTGCAGCCTCGGCGCAGCCTTCCAACCCCCGCCAGAAAGGTGGATCCGAGCCTCTAACGCGCTCCGTTGCTCGGGAAGGGATGGAGAGAGCGAGGCGCGGCACAGCGCGCGCGGCAAGCTCCCGCCCGTGCACGGGTCCAGAAGCGCTGGCGCGAGGGTCTACTCACCCCTCCATGGTTGCCCCCGATGCCCGCTTCGGCCGCCGCCTCCTTCCCCACCTCCGTCCAGCTGTGCGCCCCACCTCCTCTGTTCCTCCATAGTGCAGGCAGCCGCCGCTGCGGGTGGGGAGGGCGGGAGAAGGAGGAGGAGAAGAAGATGGGGTGTAAGTCACCATGACTAAGCAAGTGAGAGCACCAGCCGCCCCGCTTTCAGAATAAGAGTCCCTCAGCTTGCCAAGCACAGGCCGACTCGGTTCTCAGGGGAGGCGGATCGCTAAAGGAAAGAAAGCACGGGGCCGGGCGGGCGCGGAGGCGGATCCAAAGGCGAGGCCAACCCGGGGAAGGGAATGGAAGTTCCACGCTGGGGAAAGGCGAAAGCGAAGACAAGAGGGAGGGAGGTACGCCCATTGCAAATGCGCGGAAGCGCTTCCAACTCCTCTCGCGCAGAGCTGGGAGCCTCGAGCGGGCTGCGGCTCACTTTCCCGATCTGGCCCGAGAAGGAAAGCGGGCGGCAACGGCGGAAGCTTTCAAAGACGTTTGCAAAATTTAGGGTTGCAGGAATTACTTTCAATGCCGGCGTGAGGGTGCGGGGAGGAGGGCAACCCCTTAAGGCACTCAAAGGGGGTTTTAATTTGAGGAGGGGAGCTTGCAGCGCTCCAATAGTGGGTGGGTGGCGGTGGGGATAAAGAAAATCCAATCCCAACCGGACGGCTCCCGGGTTTCCCATCAACATTTTGAGCTGACGACAGGAATTTGACGAGATTGTGGCGGTTCATTTAATTGCAGTTGGCGAGATTTAGTTGCTCTAATGTTCTTCCAGGAGCCCTTGACGCTTCACTTTCCCCTCAGATTGGCCTAAATCACCCGGTGAGCTTCCATTGCTGAGAGTCGAGCTCAATCTGGGTTTCTCTGGAAGAAGAAATGGAAAGAGGAAAATGGAAAATGGAAGAGTCATTACACATTTGTGGGGGATGGAAACCTACTCAGTTTTGGAGATTTGGGTGTAGGGATTTGTCAGTTCTGATTCCCAATTGTTTAAAGCAGTGTTTGTCAGCCTTGGCAACATTAAGATGGGTGGACTTCAACTCCCTGAATTCATGTTGGCTGCGAAATTCTGGGAGTTGAAGCTCACATTTTATAGGCCCTCTTTGAAGGTGATGAGTGGTTCAAAAATGCAAAAATAAAAAGAATGCCAAGATTGAGAAACCCTGTTTTAAACAGCTGTGGTTATAATTTGGATTCAGCTACACAGATGTTTTCAAAATTCAGCAGATGTGTGAGTATGTAGTCGTTTGAGATATTTTTAAAAAGATGTAATATTGCCTCCCATCAACAGAGTGAATGATGAATCAAATAGTAGATAAAACTTATTTATCCTTTACAGACGTCCTGCCAAATATCTGAAATCTCACATAATCTTCATGCAGTGCTAAATGGTGGAATTCAAGTGGCCACAGGGACATTGCCAAAGCATTTCTAGTGGGAAATCTTATGTCTTTTTTAATGTACACATGGGTTCTCAAAGCTTCTGACAGCCATATCCCATCCATTGGCTGTTGAATTTAATTTGCTTCATTAAAATTTTATGGTCAGATTCTTCTGCAGTCCTTTGTACTTCCATTGTGAATTCACTATTCTAGTTCATAAATGTGACTGTTCTCCTGGAACATTGATAATAGTGTATTTGGCTGGGAGTCTGGATCCTTTTCCATTTTCCATCTGTTCTTTTGCTAATTATCAAAGGGCCTGTAAGCATGACTCATGTATGTGACTGGTGGAACACCACAGTCCTTGCCACACAGATGAATAGCACCAGCAACAATTGCTGTTTCCACTGCAAAGTTTATTAGCAATCTCTACCTACTTCCTTCATCTACATAGGGCTCAAATTATTTTCACAAGAGTTACCAGAGTCTTGCCCAACTTGATATCCTTGAGATCTTTGGGTCTATAACTCAGAATTTCCCAGTTAATTCTCCCATAATCCCAATCCAAGGTTGGGTTTGGGGGGCAGTACCTTAAGGAAAGCTGCTATAGTATGATAATCAGAATTGTGTTTCTGCAATTGATTTCAGCCTCAGCAAGCAGCAAAACAGGTCTCTGCTGAAGAGTTTGAAAGCTTGCAGCTGCAAAGATAGCCCTTCTTCCTGGGACTTGTGGTTGCACAATGTGTCCAGGAGATGACAGCAGAGGCAAAGCATTTAAATGCAATTCTAGTGGTCTCACTTGTAGAAAGGAGGAATTGAGATGATGAAGGATTCTTCTGTTGCAGGGGTGTCAAACTCAACTTCATTGAGGGCCACATTAGGGTTGTGTTTGACGGGGGGCGTGGCCAGCTTGACATCACTTGTGTTGGGGGCACCTGTGGCCCGAGCGCTCCGCCAGCAAAAAGGGCTCCCGAACTCTGTTTTCAGCTGTGATGGCCTCCTGCAACCCTCTGCCAGCAAAAACGGAGCTTGGGAGGGCCATGAGTGGCCCTTGTGAGCTCTGTTTTTGAATGTGATGGCCTGCAGCCCTCTGCCACCGAAAACGGAGCTCAGGGGTGCTCCATTTTCACTGGTAGAGGGCTGCAGGAGGCCTTCACAGCTGAAATGGAGCTTGTGAGGGCCGCACGTGCCCCCCCCCCCGCGCTCCATTTTTGTTGGCAGAGGCACTGCGACCCAGACCTTCTGTTTCCAGGGTGGCCCCATGGGCCACATCTAAGCATCCTGTGGGCCTTGAGTTTGACACCCCCGTTCTATTGCATTAACTATAGCAGATGACAGGCAGCAGACACTGCTGTTAAAGGAACTGTTCCATTTTTACAGCTGACCAAATAAAGGTCATTCTGAGATCTCCAAATCTGGGATGATATTGAGAAATAACTATTCATCCACCTGAGAATGGTGCTTTGGGTATTGATGCCTTTCCCTCCCAATGCAATTTAAGTTGTCTCAAGATGAATTTTCCTTCTTATGTTGATGCTTCTATTCCCAGATTCTTTCTGTCAACTTTTTTATCGGAAGCAATTGCCATTGCCAACCATAGGTCTTTGGCTACACCAAGCATACCTTTGGCATTTGAGTTCAAGCAAGATGGAGTTGCCATTCGTACTTTGAGGTGTTGTGATTGCCCTAGTGTTGTCTCTGGATGGAGAGGCACAGAAGGAGGAGATCTGTAGTATTTATTTATTTATCAATCTTCTTAATCGCTCATCTCCCTCATAGAGGGGCTCATAAGGGGCATCATCCCAGATCTGGAGGTCTGAGTCTTATTTGGTGATCTATAAAAATGGAGCAACTCGTTTAACAGCAATATCTCCTTCCACCTGCTACAAGGTTAATGCAATAAAACCCTTTATTGGAGAGGTCCTCCTGGTTATTGATAGATTGGCAGGTGAAGGCATGGCCAGGAGGCCTTTCCCTAAGTTTTGCCACACCAGTTACAGTCCTACCAGGAGCAGGAGGACCTCACAGCTGTAACTAATGCTGCCATCATTCCAGTCATGCACTGTACTCTATACGTGGAAGGCCATTCTGAAGATCACTCAAAAGCTCCACTTAGCCAAGTTCATCATGCGAAGGCCCAGATATTAGCTGGCATCTGTTGCAATGATCATATTATGCTGGTATTGCAGATCTACACTGCCTTCCTATCAGCCTTTTTAGTGTAATTCAAAATTCTATAAAGCACTGCCTGACTTGCTAGTAAGGTATTTTCAGGACTGCTTCCTTCAGCCAGAATCAATCCATGCATCCCAGAGAAACTGCTATAGTGATGCCTTATTTCTGCGATGTACACGGACAGAACATATGTACTTCTTTTCTAATTAAATAACTAATAATTGCAAAATAACCTTTGAAAGATCCTTTCCATTTTCCCCCAATCCTTGATGAATAAGAATAAAGCAGGTTGAACATAGGAAGAATTGAGTAGATGGACTTCTGGGCTAAGTAAAGGCAGGCCTTCTCACCATATGCAACAGGATTTCTTTTCTACTCATGGGCAAGGTTGTATGTGTACTTTGAGAGGAATACTGATGTTCTTAGTGACAAGCTAGACTCACTTGGGTACTAAAGGCAATTGTAGCCACTAGTATCCAACCAGCATACATTGCTCTCTCACTTAGTATCACCGCCCTCCCTTCCATTTACTGCCAGTAACCTCTAACCTCCTAGGATGTTGAATGGCTTTTTCAGAGTGACAGTGCAGGATTTTTATTTTCACCAAGGATTTGTTCTGGAGAATGCAAATGGGCGATACTTAATTGGAAACTTTGCTTGCTGCTTTCTGGAGATCATACTTATCAACAGGGAAATGTAGGAGTTGGCAATGCTTCCCCCATTCACAGCCTAAGTGCTATTTACAAAATAGTAGGCCAGTCATTCATTTGTACAATCTCCAGTTTAGACTAGCAGAGTTTACACTTCTTTTTTTTTTACCATCAATTGTCTTACTGGGAAGTTAATGGTTCAAGAAAGTGGATCATTGAGTGAAATTTGGTTCACTGAATTATAGAAGTAATAACAGCAATGGCACTTAGACATATATAATGCTTCAGTGCTTTACATCCCTCTTTAAGCGGTTTACAGAGTCAGCACATTGCCCCCAACAATCTGTCATTTCACCAATCTCAGAAAGATGGAAGGCTGAGTCAACTTGAACTGGTGAGAATCAAACAGTACTGCATTCTAGTCTCTGCCACCATGGCTCTTACGTATAATGCAGCGTGACTACTGGAAATTTGAGAAACTGACTAATGAAATGGCCTTGAGTGATGGTACTTTGTATGAATCAGCATGTGCTAAGCTAAATGGATTATGACCTTGCATTTGAAACCCGTAAAGAAAAATGGCAATAGGACATATGGTAAAGAATATCAAGGAATGTACTGCAAGTGAGTATAGGCTTTAATTTAATTTAAAAGAACGCTTGACCTGTTGACCAATAGCTAGTAGCTGATAGCAGGTTCATTTCTCTTGCCTGCATGTAGTAGCCATGGTGGTGCAGTGATTAGAGTGGAGTATTGCAGGCTACTTCTGCTGATTGCCGGCTGCCTGCAATTTGGCCACTTAAATCTCATTAAGCTCAAGGTTGACTCACCTCTTTCTGAGGTGGGTAAAATGAGGATCCAAAATTGTTGGGAGCAATATGTAAACCACTTAGAGGGGGCTGTAAAGCACTGTAAAGCGGTATATAAGTCTTAAGTGCTATTGCTAGTAGCCACCC